TGTATAGTTTAATGAAAGAGTTAAATGTAATGTCTAGTTGACATTCAATGAATTAAATCAACATAATGGTATGTCATTTGACGTTAAATGGAAATGAAGTTCAATGGTAAAATGAAACTTTTTAAGTTAAAACTGAACATTGACCAAACTTTTATAAAGTTCAATGCACTGTAGAAAAAAAAAGTAAATTGTATGAAAAATAAAATGATGATATGGTAATCCGTTATACTCAATAAAATTTAATGCATTGTTGATACCCTGTGGAATGTCTAATTGACATACAATGGATTTGAAGCTCAATAATATGTAGAATGAGAAAAAAACCAAAGCTTTTTAGTTTTTAAATATGTTCCATTAAACTTTGTATAATTCTTATAAAACTAAAATGACTAAGTTGTATCGAAAATGAAATACTAATGTGACAATTCATTAAATTGTATAGAGTTGAATGCATTGTGGAATGTGAAGGTCGTAAGTTCCTTTCGGTGTTTATATGATCGATTTTAAAGTTACACGAAACAATGAAAATGACATTAAAAGTATTAAAATCGATATTTTTTCTTGATGGTACCTGATTGATCACAATAGAAGTTTGGCTCCAATTGAAAGCAAAATAGCCAAGAACGCATCTTTCAAGTTCTTCTTCAAGTTTTTCACAAAGTGAGTCTACATCCTTTTCGTTTGAAAAATACACGTAAAGGCCATCTTTAAACCCTTTTGAGCCTCTCACATAATCCGAAGTCAATTTACATAATTCGGGACACTCGGTTCCATCTTTGAATCCAAGTTGCCTTGCTGGAAATTCACATATCATGAAATCAATTCTCTTAAGAAATGCAAAAATTGGAGTTTACTCACTAATTCATTGATAGTCTCAAAATGTATAAAAATCATTTGGTATGATTACAAGTGAAAACATCACATATGATGATTTATTAACTATTTTGAGTACTCCATTTTGATAAATCAATCATAACTCATAACACAACTTTCATGGTGGAACGAAAATTTATGGGGTAAATGTAAGAAATAATAACATATTTTCATTTTATTTGTATCTTATAATATCATGTTTTTTTTAAAAAAAAAAAAAAAACATTGTACTCTCAATTGTTTTTTTTTGTAAGACATTGTATTTTTAAAATTGGGATATTGTTAAAACCTGGTAATGAAAATTTTAAATTGTACAAAAAAACACCCTGAAATAAAAAGTTATTATCAGAAGGTAAAAAAATATCAAGTTACTTGTATTTTTGTTCAAAGAATACATATGATGACCTTATATAACCCGTTTAACAAGTAATTAAAGGGTTAAACACATAAATAGATAACATGTTCATAAAATACGGTGGTGGTGGTGGTGAAATGGTGTTTGAAACATCAATGTATTTTTTGAACAATTTAAATGGTTTTTAATTCATTAATGACCTCAAAATTTCAGTTACCAGTTAAAATGAGTTATAAGAGGTCATTAATATATATTTTGAACAAAAACGCCAATAATTTACCTTTTGATAAGATTTTTTTTTAGTTCAGTGATGTTTTTTAAACATTTTAAATAGTGTGTTGTCTTTGACGTTAACCCTCTGAAAGCTACCAAATTATACAATATTTTAAATTAGTATTCCTATTAGAGTTCAAAATAATATGTTTTGGAAATTTTATCCAATCATATAAATATTGTTATTTAATTTGATGACATTGTTATAATTCCTATAATATAAATGTACTTAATATAGAATATATAAAAAAAATTATGCTCTAAGTAGCAATTCAACAAACAAAAAAACACTGCTATGTGATGTAGTAAGGTCAAAAAAAATTTCCAATAATATAATTTTCTTTTTTTCATAAATCTCAAAATTTACCAAACTAGATGAGTATACCAACTAGAAATGTACTTTGGATAGTACAACTCCAGTCACTCAAAAGAAATGCCAAAGTACAAGTTTTAGATGCACAATGTACTACTTGGAACAACTAACAATCCAAAGCTTCAAAAATCTTAGTAGAATCCTAGAATGTACGAGAATAAAATAGTAATATTTGTCTTTTAATATTGTGCTTTGTGCATTGAAAGTTGTACAGAAGAGAAAACGAAGAACTGTAATAAACCTACCAACATAGTTGGAAAACTTTTCAACCCTTCTAAAATGGCTGGATCCGACAATTTCAGGCTTCAATGACCTTGAGTTTTTCCGGCGACGATGTTTAATGGCGGCCAACACGGCCCCGGTGGTGGTTGCGGCAAGGAAGAGCGCCACCACTAGCTTGCCGTATCCATCTGCGCGAAATTCTGATGTTAGAGAGAGAGAGAGAGAGAGAGAGAGAGAGAGAGAGAGAGGACCTCTACGCATGACGGAGTTGGTAAAAGAAGAGACGCCGGAAAAGGATAAAGGAGTGGCCGGAAAATGAAAAAAGAGTTGCCGGAGATATAAGTGGTATTCAGTGGAGTTGTCTCCTTGGTGTGTGTTATTATCATCTGAAAGTCAACAATCCATCATGTAAATATTTTGGTTGGAGAGAAGAACGTTCATATGTCATTAAGTTATAAGACGCCAGAAAAGAAAGTCTTGAACATATAATATAGAAATAGGACAGGACGTCCTTACTATTTACCATCTATAAGGGTAATCAAGTATATATATTCAGTAATTAATTTTTTATTATATCTATCATTCAACTTCCCGTTTAAATTGTTCAAAAATATCATATAACTAGTAAAATCCAATATACCACATAATGTTGGTATTTTTCAAAGGGATTTGTAAACAATCGGATTGGTTTGGGTTGGGTTGGACTGGAGTTGATTTTTTTTTTTTATTTCGCTCATCATATATAGCAACAAAAGTATATTTTTAGACTTTTAAGGGAATATGGCAAAGGACATATACTTTACCTTAATTTTTGTTTTGGAATAAAAGATTCGTTTTATTGATTTTTTCTAATTCGTTGACAATTTGCCTGGTTAACTTGTTAACTCCTGCTGCATTATGCAAGTTGTTTTTGTTTAAACTTGTTAAGAATAAAGAGAAAATCACACAAACACACATATACAATTGTTAACATGGTTCGGTTAATACAATCTACATCTACATTATAGAAGAAAGTATTCTTATTCATGAGCTTGAAAACAATAGTACGACACAATTGAAACCCTAACTATGAGTCGTTATATATAAACAAAATACAAACATAAACCCTAACTAGAACATGGTTGGGTCTAGCTAACGACCATCAACCGCACACAACAAACACTTATCATGTTGTTATTTGGTGTCGGGTTTCTTCACTTTGCTCGGGGCGGGTCGATATCCATTCGGGTCGATAATTCTCAAATCACATTTAGTAATATGTACCTTGACTTAAGTATGCTCCAAAATCCAGAAACCAAGAACTCTCGCTCCCTCCAACAATTTTACCCCAAAGGGACTTACTGATAGGTTTTGGAAAGCTAAAAATGATCTTTTTTTATTTATAAAATAAATTTAAGCAACAATGGAAACAATATTAAAAATGACTATTATTTTAGACCATTTTAACAAAACCACCAAGGATCCATTTACATTATATTAGAAAGATTATGATAACCATATAATGTTAAGAATACAATCTTTGAAGACTTTGATCCCACTTGGATTTGGGGAGTTGATGAAGATGACAAAAACTCAAGAAAAAGTTTCTCTATAATGTATCCACCAACAAGTATATGTCATCAAGAATGCTAGTTCTCATCTTGCATGAAATACTTCTTAAGCCTTTAAGCACTTATCACAATTAAACCTTAAAGGAGAAACATTTCTAAAGCACCAAACTCATCACAACACTTACAAAAGATAGGAGGAGAAAAGAGGGAAAAGGCTCTCGGCCCTAGCAAGAGAAGAAGAGAAAAATAACAACTTTTGTGAGTTTTATCTTTCCTTTAAATACTTCCACACTAGATCTAAATCTCATGCTCTTACACAAGTTAAATGTATGGTAAGTTAGAAGCATGGTGTGTGTAAGACTAATACCAACAAGCAACCCTTTGATCATGCCTAATACTTTAGGCCATGTGGAGGAGCGAAGAGAAAAGTGACATGTCTTGTACATTATATATATATAAACTAGTTATATATAAAAAGTCTAGTGGAATCCAAGGAGTCGAAAAACTTGTACATGATTTATTAAATGATACCATATAATTTAATAATTAGTCTCTACTCTCTTGATATATTATTTTCATAAAATATCAATTATTCGCTAACTAATTACAAGAGTTGATTTAATTTATTAATAATCAAATTACTAATAAATAATCAGTAAGTGAGAACTTGCTAAATGTGTGACCCTATAAGATCATATGTTATTGGAAAACATCATTCTAAAATGATTCTTGAGCATATAAATCCAACACTTACTTCCAACGGACATCTACCAAGTCCAAGAATTCAAGCAATGATTGAGCTTCTGTGGGCAATGACTTTTTCAACACATCAACCTGGTTCTCCTTGATATCTATCTTTTTAATAGAAAAATTTTATTCTTCCAAAACATCATGATAATATTCAACCTTACATCAATATGTTTCGTCTTTTTAAAATAGACATGGTTCTTTGCAAGACGCAAAACACTTTGACTTTCACAAACCAAGATAAGCTTATCCACCTTCAATCCAAGACTCTGAACAAGATTGTGTAACTGCATGCACTCTTTTATCCCTTTAGTCATTGACATGTACTCTACTTTAGTTGTAGGCAAAGCAACAGTGGGTTATAACATTGGCTTCCAACTTATAACACATCCGAAAAAAGTAAAGATATATCATGGTGGTTAGAGAATCTCTTAACACACCTTCTTAATCAAGGTCATGAATCAAAATAAGAATTTAGTTCATAAAAATTGATTAGCCTTAAGATATAAGAATAACCAAATCCAAAAGGAGTCAAAAGCTTACACTTTAATTTTGGAAAATACAATTTCAGGACTTTAAAATGATATGAAAACATCCATAAAAATCTTTTGTTACTAATTGTTTTCAAAATCCATTACTTAATCAAGAAAACAACTAACTAAAGTATGTTCTTCATTTTATAGTAAACCATTGTCATGGCATCTATGAGACTAATATAATCATACGGAGAAAAAAAATACTTTGATATCTTTAATATTGATTTGGTTACATCCAAAAATGGTTTGGATAAGACGTATCTATGACATTGTCGTCTTGACCACAAATAAAAAACACATCGCCAAACTCCAAGTGGATGCAATTTTGGAATCAATTGACCAAAAATCTTATGATGATGTGAGTCTTGTTTATTAAACGACATGGTTATGTTTATCTATTTAAACATAAGTTTGAGACCTTTGAGGTGTTCATGACACTCCAGGAAACTATAAGTGGGGCAAGGATCTGTTGGAACTTTCTACAAGAATTATTGATGTATACAAATCCATGGTGTAATAATGATGATTATCAATGTTTTTTAATGCTTCTGTTGCGTGTTTTGGATTATCGTAGTCCAACAACAACATCTATGCACCAAATTATATTTATATTAACACATATTTTGTTTGTTATCAGGTTGCTTAAAGAAGAGTTCGAGTTCCTCATGTCCCTTCTTGCTCTCAGTATGTCGATATCTTCATTAAGGGGCTTCCATAAGCTTTATTTCATGATGTTGGGTTGAATAAGTGTTGCGTCATGGGCTCGGTCCTTAGCCCAGTTTTGCCATCCGGTTGGGCCTGTCCAACTGTGATTGTTTTTGTTTAGGGTTTAGTATTTAAGGTGCATGCATGCAACCTTAGTAATTAGCGCTTTGATAATTATTGTTTTGATTTGTACTACAAAAACCTAGCTCGCCTCTACAGTGGAAGTTCTTTGTCGAGCTCTGCTGAGGCGTGACTACGTTTGAATCATTCAACATTATTTGATTCCATATTGTGTTTTCTGTGTTCGTTTGATTTTATTGTTTAATCTGTTGAAGATCTAATCGATCTAAGAGTTTTTCAACTCTATAATTGGTATCAGAGCAGGAGACTGTGTAATTTATACACATCTCTTCTGTTGAAGAAGATCTTAGGGTTTTCTGCTTAGATTGATATTACTAGAGCCGTCATCTGCTATTGA